GTAGAAATATCTGGAGATACATGCCTCTGGACATGTAGTTCTACAGCAGGTTTAACTGTTACACTTTCAAATTCCCAAAGGCAGCCAAGACTAAACATCCTTTGTGACCAAGTGCTTCTATAAGGAAACTGGGAAAATACTGGGGCTTGCTGCACTCAGTCTTCTAGACGTGAGGAGAAAAATGTCAATGTTCCTCTGATGCTTAGCCATGCCAATATGATTGACACTAATCCTCCACTCTTCCTTCCCACACAGTTAGTAAACAGTGGAAAAGGCTCTGTGTTTGGGCATAAATAATGCCTTCACCATGGCCCATGACTTCAGCTCAGTACCTCCTCACCTGTAATTGCAGGGATGCATGGGCGAAGAGCTGGGATAGGGACGGTCCACAAAGTGATCAATGATAATCCCCATGATAGGAGGGGTCCTCTCAAACTGCCTGCAAGGCAACAAGCAATGGTGTTATTGATAAGGCTGCTTTGTCTCTCTACTCTCATCTCAGTTGTTAATGGGACCAGAGCATCTTTACAATTCAGCCCTGCAACTCCAAGCATGCATCAATAACTTGCAGTTCTAGAGTCTGGCTCAGGGCTACCCAAATACTCCCCTTTCTCCAAGACTTAACCTTGAGAGACAGACTTCTCTAGGAAGGGGAAGTTTGGCTGGAACGGATAAGCAGAAGGGAAAGATTTAGGGGCTCATAATATGAGAGGTTTAATAGTACACCATTATGTATCAGTTTCTGGCATGATGGCGTTTTCTCACCTGGTTGACATGAAAGCAAGGTTGATTCTGTAGGCACAAGACAAGGTGACAGTGCCCACAGGGGTACCCACTGTCCCAACACGGACTGTCTGGAAACCTATAAAGTTAAGGAATTATTGTTAGTGCTACTGATTATTTATGTTCCATATAGCTCTATTCTGAGGTTACATTTTCTTATTTCTACATTTTTTCTGTTATCCCTTGCAATCTGAAATCCAAACACATACAAAGATTCTGTAACAGCAGCACTAGGTTGCCTTGCTGATCTACAAGACTTCTATCTTGGTCTAAAATATTGCTCTGAAGTGCTTCTTGCTCCTCAGTAGATTGTTATCTCCTTGACCAGTCCTGCACCTTATCAACATACTTTCATATTTTTATTTCAGTTCTGGATCACTACAGTCAAAATGGCTATCACCCTAGGTTTTGCCAAAGTACCACCATTATACCCCTAACCTTATGACACCAGCCTTTCCCAGTACATCTCAATTAAAAGCATATGTAAACATCAGATTTGGTTTTCCTTATGGCACTTAGGAATAGTAATAAATGGCTAGCCAGTATGAAGAACAGTTCTGCTTTAATTTGTATGTGTGTTGCCTAATCATACCTTCTCCCAAGCCACTCAGTTGCACTTCACCAAAGTATATCCTGCACAAAAAGGAAAAATAAAAGGAGTTAGGTCCATTGGGGACACAGTGCTAAACATATCCTTATTCTTAATTTAATTTGATGAGTTGAAAAGCTGGAACTACTTTTCCACTTTAGAAAAAAAAAAAGTGGCTAGAATGCCCATCTCAAAAAACCTTCCAGATACTTCAGAGGAAGTCATGTTATGTAAAAAGAGAAAGGAAGAGAAAATGGTAGTCTAATCAGAAATTTCTCTTGAAGTTTTTTAAGCCTCTGTGGCAAGTCTACAGTTCAAAGGAAAAACATAAAGTAATGGACAGGTTGAAGTCTAAAAACTGATATTCATCACACAATATAAAACATGGACTGTGCCACAAAGAGACCTGCTCTTAAGTATATGCCAAACCAGCAATGGAGGCAGGTTCTCAGTTGTGCAAATGTTAACAAACATGAGAGTTAGGATAATTTAAATTAGCTATGCAAATATGACAGAGGCTTTCCCAAAGCCAAAAACAAAGACAGGAAGGTAATAACCATGAACCACAAGCCAGGCAGATCTCACAGACTAAATGGAGTTGCACTCAGTATTTGGCCACGTAACTCACAAGAACTACAGGAAGTAGAGCTGAGGATGAATCTTTAAAATGGAATAGCAGGAAAGAATCTGAATCTATACTGCATAAGTATGCACTGCAGTTACATGCAACGTAGACGGACATTTATCAAACACGGGCCAGACAGGGAAGAACTGGATGCTCATAAGCAATCCAAACAGTGCTTGCACAAAGAATTTCTGTGCTCTTCTCAACACAGTGGACAAACAAAACTTCACAGCCTGTGCTTAGTTTTTCTTTCAATGGCTCAGATGGAAGCTATAATGTGATAAAAGTTACCTTCTGTCACTCATCAGTAGTAGTTAAATCCAAATAATCTGAACTTATTACCCCTCGTTCCTTTTTACCATGTTTGCAGCTGCCCTGTGCAAACCTAGAGTCTCTGCTGTTTGTATTTCAAGTGAGGGATTTCATATTCTGCTTTACCTGTACAATATCACATATTCATGGCCTTGTTTCCTTGAGAGTCTGTAGGCTGGAGTTACCCTGGTTATAGCAAGCAGAGACTTCAGCAGTAGAGACAGCCTGTTGTAAACAGTGTATGAAACTTTGATTTCTTTGTCACACCTATAGAACACAAAGGAAAAAATTAGTCTTTTGTTCCCAACTCAGTTGTTTGATTTTGTTTTGGTTTGTTTACTTTGGTTTGTTTAGTTTCTTAGAAACAATATGAATCTGAGCCAATTGTTTAATGTTAGTTTTATTGCCAAAATGATAAAATTAAACCCTGGTGTGGCTAACTGCTATTGACCAACCAGCTTACTTCAATCTAGCCACCTGTTGCAGAGGCAATTGCTGAAAACACCATACAGTCTTCTAGTAGACAAAACCAGCTTTTCAGTATTAAAAACATTTGTAGTAACTGAGTATATGAATTCTTGTATCTGAGGAAGCATACTTTGTGTAAGGGGAGAATGAAGAGAGAATATAAATACTGGTTTATTTTCTTGACACCAATATTCAACAGTCTGACTGCTGCACTAGACAAAGAAAGGACTTCCCTCTGAAGTGTCACAGCCTGCAAAGCCAATATGTGCTCATTCATCACCACGGATTGAGCACATGTCCCCATTTCATCAGTTGAAACAAACACACACGTGACAAAGAAAATGTGAAAATTCACTTACTTTTCATTCATTTCTAGACACCAAATCTCCAACTCCATGGAGTCCCCCTGGATCAGAAAAAGAACAGCAAACAAAGGCTCATTTCAGAACACAAACCTTTTTACATCTCATTAATGATTAGCAAAAGCCACACCTCTAAATGAAGATATTTCTCCTAGCTACCACTTTCTTGCAATGCGACAATAGAAGAAGGTGCACAGCTAGGATCACCTAAGGTAATACCTTCCTCAGAATGGTTAAGCTCTCCATGGCCTAAGAAACCAAATTTTGCTGCTCTATCATTTGTGTATTTGGCTTCAGATATTTGCAGTGAGCTGCTTCTGTTAAACAATTAGCCTATTACCCATTTCATATATGAAGATACTTTCACGTTGTCTTGGACTAAAGGACATGAGCTGTGGTTGGAGATTTAAGATTCAAGTTTAAAAAAAAAAAAAAAAAAAAAGGCATATATTCTAACTCAGTTCTCACCTCTGAGGTTTTGAGAGAAATCTCCACACACATAGACCGTCCAACAGCAGGCAGTTGTCCTGCCAGGGCTTTCTTTGCTTCATGAGTAACCTCTGGTATATCTTTAATTGCCAAATTGAACTGCAGAATGAAAGAGATTATTCCATTTCTTTATTTCTTTGAACAACTGCCTAATGGCACACTGCAGACAGACTCACAGACCCATGTTATAACATACTAATTCAGCACCCACTGAAATATTTATGAAACAGAAAATTCCCAGATGGACTCAGGCTTTTCATATTTGCAAACAATTCTTTAGCTGCTAATTCAAATTCTTGATCTTGCCATAAAAATTATGGTTTTTTTCCCCCTCACTTGAGTCCTATGTTCACCCACAAAGAGCCCTGAGTCTCTTTGATTGTAATAAAGCCCCTTACTTCCAAGGTCCTGAATTGCAGAGTATCAAACTTGTGACAGAACAGAACTCATCACCCCACCCCCAGCAGATCTTGGAAATGTGCCTTAGCTGGCAGGAGTTGCTGAGGGGTATAATTTCTCTCTGCACTAACCAGTCCTTAAGAGCCCAGTGCAGCATCTTGCCTGTCAACAACAACCCCCCCACCGATGAGCACAGCTGAGTACAGTAGTTACTCTATGAATAGCTACTATAGTCTGCCCAAGACTGTAACAACTACATTGTGTTCTCAACACACTTGCTCCTGCATGTGCACACACACAAACCCCAACAGTTATGGAGCTGGTTTAAAAACGTGACTTTACCCAGTCAGAGCCTGTTGGGGAGGAAGATGATCGGGTACAGATTTTCTCTCCAAGTCGGGCCTGGACAATTACTTGTACTGTCTGGAAAAGAAAGGAGAAGATACACACTCCTGTTTTGAGCTCAGCAGAGCCCTCAGTTCAGAACCTGAGCTAGACAAATTGCAAGTAATACAATTAAAGGGCTGCCCCAGATGTAAAGAAGTAAAGTTTGCTACACTAACCTTCAGGTGTAATCAACTTCAATTATTACATATAACAAGAATTTCAGACAGAAAAGAATTTTAAGCTGACCTTTCTTGGTAATAACATGAAATGACTAAGCCAGTTTTGTGATCAGGAGCTGCACAGTTTTCAGTAATACTGAAACAAAATTTACAACTATATTCTGAACCTGGACACATAAATGTAAGTCAAGTGAATGTACATTATAATTACCTATCAATACAATTCAAATGAACATTCTGGTATTACTTAAAATACAACATAAAAGTGTTGATCGGCTGAAAGGAAGGAGGAGTCCAACTGCAGATACTACGTAACAGCTGGACTGACAGGTGTGTTGACAGGAAACCAAAGGTGACAGGTGTAAAGTGCCTGTAAATGATTCTACAGCAGGACAATTTTGGGGGAAGAGGATTTGTAGGTAGAAAAAAGGGAGAAAGATATTTTTCTAGTTACACTTAGGAATCTCCTAAATTTTCCACCAGCTTTTCTTGCTTTGGTCTTTTAGCAAAACAAACAAAAACCCCAGGCCCCATTCCTGTTACTCTAGCCACAGCAAGTACAGCTTTTCTTAGAGAAAGAGGAGGCAGTTGCCCACAGGAGGAAAAAGTTACCTTTAAAGCAAAAAATTTGATGAACTTGTCCAGGTCCTTCCTGTCCTGGGAACTGAGATCAGTGTCCATTGCATATGGCAATCTGAAATACAGTACAGGTGTGGAAATGAAGTGTTCTTTCAGCTTTAATTTGGGTTTCAAGCTTTCAAACTATTTTGCAGTTAGAAGCTCCCTCATGAGAAATAAGCACCAAAGACCCCTCTCTGCCTGTCAAAATCCTAACACTCAAAGAACTTTGTGGGGTGGATGTGAGGTATAAACTCATACAAATATATTACCTGGTCAGCGCAAAAGATACTAGAAAAGAAACAACAAAGTGGGCTCATAAATAAAACTGAGTACAAGTTCTCCAATTTTGCTGGCTTAATTAACAAAAAAAAGAAACACAGGAACAAACCCAAAACACCCCAACACCACACTGATTGGATGCTATACCAAGCTATCCTTCAGACATGGCAGTGTCTGCTTCAGAAAAAATACATCTTCAGTTATCAGCACTGGTCAAAACCAAGTCAAAATGTTCTCTTATGTTTGGAATCCCAAAAATCAGTATTCTGGAGGTATTTCAGCAGATACCAAAATCTATGTGGTAATACTTGCAGTGAACTTGTGAATTTACCTATAAACAACAGAAAAGAGACTTTTTTTGCCAACGGATAGGCCAAAATTCTCTGTTCACTCCTCTCAAAAGCTCAGACAACAATTACAAGTTCCCACATTCACAGTGCCTTGTTTTTCTAGTAATACAATGAACTTGCAGAGTGCCTGAAGTGAGGCAGGCCAAGGCACTCATCAGATTTCTGCCACCATCACGTCACATGGCCTGGGATAAATCAGAATTTTTCTAGCTTTCTTCATGTGTAAGTTAATAATCACATAGTGAGCATGAGTAGGAATGCCTTAATTAGCAGCATTAATTGTATTTTGTGCTCCCAAGCCTTTCAATGTATTAATTCATTCTTAATTCCTGTTGCAGTTTTTGTTTTATACAGCTAATCAGCCTGAAGCAGCTTGTCAAACTTGACATATTTATGGAATGTGCTGCTCATCACAGAAACGGTGGGTGTCTAAGGTCAGTGAGCACAAGCAGCTGCTGTGCATGAGGTTACTCTACTCAGTGTTCCATCTTCCAGCCAAGACTGAACTTGCAGCAAGGTATGCTATTGATACAAATTAAAGCTCAGCAGGACAAAGAAGCTAATAGCATCTTACACATAGAAAATACCATATAATCTTTAATGACTAGGCACGTCCAAGACTTCTATTAAACATGTGTCACTTAATAGCAGTAAATGTGTATTTTAAGTACAGCTTAAGGAACACCATCCAAGGAGGCCTGCTAGATTAAGAGTAGTGCAATTTATAAGCAGTTTATAGAGATGAGCAATGCTTTCTGAATGACTCAAGAAAAAGAAAACTGGACATCCAACATGGCTGAAAGTTCCTAGGCTACATTCATACTGCATCTCCTAGTGCTGTGTTCACCTTTAGGATCAGTCCCAGTAACAGTCCAGATGGGCCTGGAATTACAGCAAACATTCTATTTACAAAAAGGCTTTGGCACCCTCTGACCTCAAGAAGAAGAAAATTCTTAAAACTTAGTTCCACCAAACTCATTCAACTTCTCAGGTCCTGTAGGTTACAATGCCAGCACAGCCTCTTCTTAAGTGACAGTATCTGGGCAGATGCTTAGCTCAAGGAAGATGCTGACTAATTTTTTGCTGAATAACAACTAGAAGGAAATAACCTTTCATCTAGGTTAGAAACCCACAGATGACTGATTCCCCTCAATCAAGTAATCCCTTAAGTAAACTGATGCCTCACTGCTTTAGCCTTACACATAGGCTGCTCACAGGTATAATCAGGCATCCTAGCCACAGTTTTTTGCTTTGTGTCTTTCTTTTCCTGCAAAATCCATTTTCATATTATTGCCTTTATTTATATGCCTTTGTCTCCACTTTCTGCTAACAGAAATGTCAGACAGATATACAAAAGAGAACTGCCACATGTGGCTCTTTTGACTAAAGCCTTATGCTTTCTCACAAAGTTATGAGGCAGAGAAGAACACTAGGCTTATCCAACAGTTTAAGTGACCCCCTGTCCAGTTGGTGTCACTGCTGCAATGCATGAACATACTAATGTCCACAGCCAATTAGCATCCATGAGCCCTAAGTTAGGGCGGTAACTATTTGGGGCAATTCATAACTTGCTGTCCATCCTTCCTGCCTTGTATCACATCTTTTGTTTTGCATTCATTTGTCCTTGAGCAGCAGTCCTGTTTTTGGTCCATTAGCTGGGTATAATCAGCAGAAGGCCTCTGCTGGCTTAAAAGGGATTTTGTTTATACTTATGTGGGGAAGAAGAACTGTTTCCCACAAGCATCTAAGCACTGTGACCTATACACTTGAAGAAGAAGGACACGTCAACATAAGCTGATGGCTCCCTATTTGCATGATGCAATGAACTGCAAGAGCCCTCCCCTTCATGCCTTAGTACAGCCCCGGGAAACCACAGCTCCCAGCACATCGTGCTCCCTGCCACAGCTGCTGCCTGCCCACTCCTGCAACCCAGGCACACAACAGGTGCTCACTAGCACCTGTGAGCACAGCACATTTTGTACGCAGGGAATTTATCATGTATGTCTGTTTGACACAAATGGGAAAGGACCAGGAGCACCTGACATTTACCAGGCACTATTACTGCTGCTGGGGAAAGCATACACAGGCTGCTTCCATCACCTCCCCTCCTCTGGGACTTCACTCTGAGCCATGACTGCTACAACTTAAAGTCATCATGCTTTCCTTTCAAACAGATATTTACCAATGCAAAATAATTACTTGTGGTCTCTATCCCAGAGTGAAATTAAAAAGAGCAGAGGGAAGAAATAAGAAGGGCTGTGGCTGTAAGGAGAGGGCTGTGGACAGCTCTAATCCTAGCTCTACATGCTCAGCTATCTGATCGTGCCCCCTGGACCAGGTTCCCTGTCCCTACCACTCTTCCAGAACTTCTTTGTCAATAAAGGACCCAAATCCAATCTGATTTCCTGTGTAAAGTTCCAGAAAAGCCTAATTGAGTCATGCAAGGTAAACATGAAGCACATGCAAGTTTTTTAAGCTTTTAATAGAGTGCTTTTGATAAATAGGCTTGACTGCCAAGAAAGCTTTTCCTAGGACATCCCCTTCAATGACGAAGCTTCACTGCAAGCAGGTATTTTGAGCACATTAATAAGCAACTATAAAAAGATCTCCATAAAGACAGCACTCTGTTTCAGGGCTAGGCCTACAAGTTCAAACACCAGTATCCTACAATTACTTAAAATTATCTCCATTTTGCCTTCTTAGTAGGTTAGTCAGAAACCTGGGGAGAGGGAGGAAACAGTTCTAAATGTTAAGGTGTGCTACACTTATCCTTTAAAGTTTATGCAAATTTTAAGGGAAGACTAGAGTAGATTCTAGCAGAAAAACTGTTTCACATAATACAAATATTCTGATCAAATCCAAGGCTTTGTAGCTCACTATAGGGATAGGTTTTGATTGATAAAGAGGCAATTTTTCCTGAGCTGATCAGGAAATAGATTAACTTCATAACTGACAAACTACTTCCCAGCTTAGGAAACATCTTATTAAAGTCAGCACTGCCAGTTCCAGTGGCTTAAAACCAAAAATAAGCAATTTCTTTTGACCGACAGTAACATTCTGTACTTCCCTAAGGTCTGAAAATGGTGTCAGTTCAAAGGTCCATCCTCTCATTTTGTTTTCCAGGCCAAAGTATACAGACTAAACCAGGATCTGCTTCTATGTACCCTGTACTACAACCACCATCATAATGACCAGGTCCCAACTTTTCTGTGAATACAAGCTCAGAAAAGCTGAGATGATACAATACCATTTAAGCAAAACAAGGTGATCCTGTATAATCCTTCTGGACATCTAAATACAGCCTGGCTCATCCGAGTAACTTATTCCTTGCCCCAAAAAGGATTCCATCAGGTCACACCACTCCTACAATTATTTGGAGACACTCTAAACTTCATGGGTATTGCCGACTAATTTTCAGCTATGGCAGTAATTTACTCTGTTTTTCCCCCTTACCATGTGCTCAGTCGCACCACTTCAGAGATTTGCAAGCAGGCAGTTTGTAGGCTTAATCCAAAGTGTCCCTTTTCTGCCTGTTCACTGTCATGGGAGGTGTCTCTGCTCCCACCGAATCGCCGGGAACGACTGGCGGCGCCCAAGGAGCCGCAGCTCTGACAGGAACGACAGCCGCGATGATTTGTAAACCCCTGATCTTTCCTCACTCGTAGCAAACTCACGTAACAGGAACACTGTACAGTGCACCGCGGGGTCGTAAGCCCTTCTAACAGGCTCTGAAGCATTTGGCTTTTACAAGACACCACTGGGAAACGTTCCAGCGGGCCACGTCCTCCCCAGCCTCCCTGGGCAGGTTTTTTTAGGAAAACAAAGCCCGGCCACCCCGCCGCCGGGCGCCCGCACGCAGCGACACGGCGGGAGCCAACCCTGGCTTCAGCGGGCTGCCAAGCGAAAGTAAAAGGGAGACACGCAGCCAAAG